CCTTCCTTCCTTCCTTCCTTCCTTCCTTCCTTCTTTTTCTTTTTTATCTATCTATCATCTATCTATCTGCTGATGCTATGAGCTTAATCAATCAAATCAAAATAAAACAAGAACAACAAAAATACTTTGGATCACCCCATCCAAGTGAAGTCACTTGGTTGGGATGGTTCATTTGAGAGAACCTCCTGAATAGCCTGACTTTATAATCAAAGATGGTTGGCACTATTTATGTTTGGAAGGAGCTTCCTGCATTAGTGTCCTCCCTAAGTCTTATTAGGACAACTTCTGTGACCAAACAAACTTATCTACTCAGTGTTGTGCTTCTAAGGTGGTTTCAGACCCATAGAAACCTTGATACCCTCCTATTTCCTGCCTCACCTTCTGAACCTTGTTGCCAGTAAGACATGTTTGCTTATCTTGATCTTGAATTGGACTGGGACTACTATTTTGCTTTTCAGTGTCAACTGGGAGTGCAGGATCTGATACTTTTGTCAAAACGATGAAAGTAGTAGGCCATTGCAATGCAAGCTCTGCCTGTTTTGTATTGACGTATGATGTTATGATGTAGGTACAAAATGAACAGAGCTTATGTGATGATGGCACAACAATGTTTTCATCATGTATCCTCACTATGGATGATTTTGAGTGCTTTGATCAGTTTACAATCTCAAGCTTTCCTAGTAGGGCTATACAGTGCTTTGGATTTGGAATGTGTGTTGGCATGCATGGAGGCACTCCTGTAGCACTTCTGGAAATTCCTCAAAGCAGCTGACTCTTTTCCTTGGATCACATGGTGGTAAATGTATCCCCTCATACACATGTGAGCTGTATGCACTACCAAACCTATGAGATGCCCCCCTGAACTGACCCTGAGTAGCAACAGGGAAAAGACTCAGCCAGGAACTGTGGCCCAGAAAACCAAATTGTTTCTATTCATTGACCATATCTCAAAGATAATATAGCTAGCATACTGATCTGGTAGAAGGGAATAAATAATAAGAATAGTTTATCAGAGACATTCTAAGATCATGCTATAATTCACATGGTGTCTGCCTTTTCCTTTGTCTTGTCTTTGAAATGTAGTAGGCCAAAGGGATATTCGCTGTGGTTCTGCTTTTGCTCAGGGCTGCCCAGCAAGTCACCAATGCTTTGCTGGGAGCCCAGTGTACACTGTAGTTATGTGCGTGCTCAATACATTTATGTTGTATTTTCAAAGTGATTTCGTTGCTTTAGTTGATCCAGATTTTGGCCACAGCACGTTTGCTCTCTGCAGCTGCAATGCTATTCCGGGAAAAGATGCATTTGGCTTAAAGAGTTGCCAAGAGACGCAGTGGGGCCACCCACGCCTTCCCCAAAGCTTCTGATTCTCCTGGATCTGAAGAGTTACACAGCCCTAAATGACAAGAGCAGTCAGGGCAAGCCTGTGAACCCCCAGCCTCAGTCTGCACTCCCCCAAGTGATTTACACAGAGATCTCTTTACTGTCTGTATGAGGTACAATGACAATAAAGTTTACAAATACAAATCTGGACACAAGTTGAAATGATGATTTCCCTCCATTGGCCAATATCCTTGTATTAACTTCCCACGAAGGAAAAGGATAATGGAGCATCAGTACCACTTCCAGTCTACAGAGGCTTTTCATCTGGTTTCAGCCCAGGTGACATTCCCTTTGCTCTTGTCAGATTATTGATCCAGAACCAAATTTCTCCAGGAAGTTGTGAGCCAATGTGAAAAACATATTGCTTACCAGTGGTCCCCCTCTGGAACCAGAAATAATTATCTCCATGCAATTATCAGACTCTCATGCCTCCCTGAACCTGTAATTGCTGTCTACCAACTACTAGAAAATCCATAAAAAAACCCCAAGTGTCTGAAATAACTCACTCAAGGGTTTCCATTCAGGGCTGGTGCAGAAAGAAAGCAGGACTCTTATCACTTTGATCCAGGGCACTTTCATTCCCAATCCTTCTACTCCACACTAATGGAACTAATACTGATCATGCAACTGTAGGCGTTCGTAGAAGGACCTCTGACACCTGTTGGTGATGCTGGTCCTGGTTTTATTCCTTTTACCACCTATGGTGTGCAAACTTACTACAGAGAAGTGCTCTAAGAATGATCCTGCTCCTGTTCGACATGAATGGCAGCAACCAGGAGATGTCCTCCTTGGTGGGATGTCATCACAGATAGTTTATATTTTCTATGCACTTTCCTTCAAGGAAAATCCTTTACAAGAGCTGGCATCTGATTATCCCATGTAAGGATTTCATCCCCCCCTTTTTTTTTACTATTAGGACTTTGAAAAGGTGGTGCCCGTATGGTTTGACAAATTCAGTTTTACTGAATCCGAATGGTCTACTGTGAGTGAGAAGATCTTCAGACGAACCCGTTATCTATTTCATGCCTAAAAGTTGTGTTTTGTATCTTATGTTATCTAGATTTGTACCTCATTTATTTTGTAGACACTTATCCTGACCCTGCAATTTCGTTATTTCAACCATTTACCATCGGTTGAGGGAAATATAAGAGTCAGTTTGATGTAGTGGTTAAAGACACTGGATTAAAAACTGAGAGGCTGTGAGTTCTAATCTTGCTTTAGACATGAAGCCAGCTGGGTGGTTTTGAACCAATTCCTCTCTGTCAGTCCTAGGAAGAAGGCAAGGGCAAACCACTTCTGAAAAATGTTGCCAAAAGGACTACACAGGGTGTCCATTTAGTCACCAGGAGTGAAAAATGACTTGAAGGCAGGGAAGGGGGAAAAAAAAAAGATGGAAAGGTAGTGTTGGTTCATAGTCCACCTATGATCCAGTCATTATTGTTTTAAAAGAAAGATATAATCATGACTACTGATTTTAATACAAGTTTTGGAAAGAGACACTGGAAAAGGCAGAAACATTTGAAATGTTTCCAAACCATACTTTCTGCTGAAGAATGTTTTGAAACAGCTTGAAGGTATGTATTATGATATAGAGGTTTTAACAATCAATCTCTATCCTATCTATCTATCTATCTATCTATCTATCTATCTATCTATCTATCTATCTATCTATCTATCTATCTATCTACCTCTATCATCTATCTGCCAAAATTTGAATATTTCTTTCTAAATTCGATGGCATGAGCTTGAGATTTAAAACATTACAATGTTGGAGCAACAAAACCAAATAGAATATCCATGACTGACAGAAAAGTTTGCAAAGTCTCCCCAATCTCAATTTTTTATATTCAGTATATAAGGTGTTTTTATATGCAGTATATACAGTAAGTTACTCCCATGATGGAGAAGAACATCTTGTATCTGGCTGTATATACACAATTAAGGTCAAGGAACAAGTCAACAAACAAACAGTGAGTGGCAACTGATTTACCTCAACAGGCAGCACTAA